CCGATCAGGCTCGATCCGGACTACCTGGACGCGATCGCGGACAAGGCCCAGATCGTGAGGAAGAAGCTGAGAGCACCAGGATTGGACGACGAAGATCCCAGACCGTCGGCGCTCGACTGGTCCGAGGCTGACCTGGATCGTCAGTATCACTTGAAGGAACTGCGAGACTTCTTGCGTCAAGATCCTGTCATGGTGATCTTGCGGCCAGAGCAGATCGACAACCCGAAGGGCCCGATCTCGGCCCCCCGAGTGACGGACAACAAGCTGATGGCGGTGAAGAACCTGCTCGGGCTGTTGAAGGAAGCCGGCTTCGTGTCTGGCGCCTTTGAAGCGAACGATCTTTTCGATCAAGATCTCGATATGATCCAGACAGCGATCCAGACATCGGTCGATAAGTTGAGACCGTTGGTTGACGTGATCGCGGACAGTCCGGACCCGAAGGTGCCGGATCTAGTGTCGCTAGCTCCCGCGTCGCCGCCACGGATGGAGTCCACTGGGTATCGATCGTCGTCTCCTTATGTCTCCGCAGCGGAACATGTATCGGATACGTCATCTGAACCTCAACGGATGTCCCTCGGCCCTTCAGGATCTGCGATGTTGGACGCACGATCACGAAGTCAACGTCAGGAACGCATGCGACCAGGACCTCGGAAGCAGAAACCCAAGTCGACCGATCGGACCACCAGTGCTACCGGATCCGATGAGTCGAATGGCAGACTGGAGTCTTACTTTCAGGCTGCGATGGCTCGCTTTTTATAAGAGGGTTACACGCACAAGTGGCTACAGTCACGTGTAACTCTAACAGACACGACGTCTATTAGAGGTTCGAAAGACTTTCTCATCCTTGGTGTAAACACACCAAGGCTACATACATTTACGATCACCACGACGGGTGGTCCATAGAGACTTAGGATTCCTATTGGCTGAAAGCAGCATCTTTTAGCCAATGAGCGACATGCATAGCATTGGAATTCTGCCAACCAGCCGTTGGCAGATTCCTATCTTAGAATATTACATTTAGAGGAAGTCAGAAACATAAAACAAAAATAGCAGTTCTCATTTTAACCCAAAAACATTATTTGGATCGTTTATTTAGATTAATCTATATTCGGA